CTTCATTCCTTTTTATGGCTAAGTAATGTTCCATTAGGTGGATATGAATATGCCACATTTTGTTTATCTATGAATCAGTTGACAGACATTTGAATTATCTCCACTTTTGGCTCTTATGAATAGTGTTTCATTTGATTCTTTTTTATAATTTGTATTTATTTGTATTTGCTCTTTCATGAGTCATAGACATCATACTTTAAAAAATTCTTTAATCACGACTTCCTTCAATTATTTAACATATTTATAAATAGCTGCTTTGAAGTCTTGGCCTTTTAAGTCCAGTATCTTTGCCCCCTCAGAGTTAGTGCCTATTGATTGCTTCCCTTCCCCATCCCCCATGTATGGAGCACACACTTTCTTATTTCTTTGTATGTCTCATGATTTTTTTTGTTGAAAACTAGAAGTTTTGGATAATATAGCAGATCAGAGTTCTGATTTTTGCCCTGAGGGTTGTTAGTATTGTTTTGTTAGTGTGTTTAGTAAAGTGTCTGTACTGAATCTGTAGAGTCTATTTAATGGGCAGTGATTGCTGATATCTCTGCTCAATTTTTAATTTTTATTGTATTTTTAAACCTGACTACCTAGGGATTAGTCCTGTATCAGCCTGGGTTAGTTGTCAGCCAGTGATTGGTCTTTGCTTGCATTTAAACACTTTGTTCCATTATATGCTTCTTCCACATGCTGATGATTCTTGGTGTATTTTCAAAATTCAAGCAGTTTTTAAGTTTGCCCTGGCTTTTGCTTTCCTCTAGGATCTCTTGGATTTCCTCTGTGTGTGTGCATCATCATGGTTTGCCAGGGATTTGTAGATAGCTCGATTTCTCTCTAGTCTCTCCTGCATGGATGGGTAGAGAGCATATTAAGAACCCATATGGCTGTGTATTTTCTGTATCTCCCTGCGAAATGTCTGGCTGATATGCTGGTCCTTTGCTTGCCACAACTTCGTGTTTGCTGAGCCACTGTGTGTTGGCACTGGGATCGCTACTATTACTGAAAGTACTGTTTGGGGTGGACTTTTTCTGTGCTTCAGTCCAAATCATGCCAGCCTCCTCTGCAAGTGAATCTGCTGAATTTCAAAGCTTGCCTTGCCCTTGTATAATTACCATGGCAACCCAGCTGGGACGGAAGGTGGGAGTAACCCCAGGCAAGAATGCCACAGACTCCCACAGTTCTTACCTGTGGTTTTATGGTAACCACTTCTTCATTTGTTTTATGTTTTTGGTCAATTTCCAGAGCCCTCAAGTGGTCCCTGACAGTTTTCTCTAGTTACTGCCTTTTGGGGAGAGCATTTGCTAATTTACTTATTCTATCATACCTGAACTCCTTTCACCCTCCAGACTGACATTTCAATAACAAAAAACTTTGAGATGCTGTGTAATAAGAGTTTCTGTCTACTGCATAGTGAAGAACACCAAATGGCTCATATTTTTGGTCTAGAGATCAAAATGATCAAAATAGCAATTAATAGAGATTAAAATAGAATTGTGGCATATTTTTCCACTACTTCCCTCGAATTCCTATGGAACAGTTTTTATTATTTTGTTTAATTAAAGATTTAGTCTGTATTATTTTGTATAATATCATTTGTTAAATTAGGTAAATAAAGGGCGCCTGGGTGGCTCAGTTGTTAAGCGTCTGCCTTCGGCTCAGGTCATGATCCCAGGGTCCTGGGATCAAGCCCCGCATTGCTCAGCGGGAAGCCTGCTTCTCCCTCTCCCACTCCCCCTGCTTGTGTTCCCTCTCTCGCTGTGTCTCTCTCTGTGAAATAAATAAATAAAATCTTAAAAAAAAAATGAGGTAAATAAAATTTCTCTGCAATTCTGAGCTAAAACATTTTTTGCATTCTTTAGTATTTGTTTTTATTTTATCTTGTAAACAGATCTTACATCAGCTAATATTATTAACAAATAAACATTTATTGCATGCTTATGTTGTTCTAAACACTCTATATGTATGAAATCTTTTAGTCCTAACAACTTACTGAGTTATAGATAATATTTCCATTTCATAGATAGGTAACTTAAAGTCACACACCATGGTTGAAGAGGTAGTTAATAGTTGAAAGGCACTTTCTGTTAAGTGAGATTATAAATAAAATCAGATTTGTCTATTAAAATTCTCAAGAATATTTGCATTTTTTCTTAAGATTTGGTTTGGATGGCTTAGTCTGAAATAGATACTCTTCTTTTTTAGAGAAAAATTCAAATATAAACTTTGATTTGAATATTTTAATAAACAAATAGAACAAAGTAGTATAGATTCTTGCCTCTAAAGAGAATAATTGTGGGTGGCTCAGATGGTTAAGTGACTGCCTTCCTGCTCAGGTCCTGATCCTGAGGTCCTGGTATCAAGTTCTGCATCAGAATCCTTGCTCAGTGGGGAGCCTCTGTCTCCCTCTGCCTGCCACTCGCCCTGCTTGTGCACATTCTCTCTCTCTCTGATTAAAAAAAATAATAATAGAATAATTGTTTTAAAGTTTCAGTTCACTTAACACTCTGGGAAGTAAAAGTTGGTAATTTGAGAGGGACCATTTAAAATTTCTCTTTCTTGGGCGCCTGGGTGGCTCAGATGGTTAAGCATCTGCCTCCGGCTCAGGTCATGATCCCAGGGTCCTGGGATCGAGTCCCGCATCGGGCTCCCTGCTCCTTGGGAACCTGCTTCTCCCTCTGCCTCTCTCTCTCTCTCTCTCTCTGTCTCTCATAAATAAATAAATAAAATCTTTTAAAAAAAATAAAATTTCTCTTTCTTAAAGATAAGTGGGCAGGGAGACTTTTTGATTATGTAAAGACAGTTGTTGAGTTCTTTGTGCTGAAGGAGAGAGGAAATAGGGGTCTTATGTTTCTCTTGTGTTTTGCTATCCTGGTATTGTGTTTGGAGGCATGGAACTATTGGTGGAGGAAGGTAGAAGGAAAGATGTTAAGGAGCAGAAGAGCTATTCTTTTAGTTATCATTATTTAAGGATTATAAGCCCTTATGTCAATGATTGGAGCAGTCCATGAACCCACAGCACAAAATCACACCACCACCACTTACCTGATAAGTACCATTCTCTAGTTGTACATAGAGTAAGAGAAAACAGCCTTTTGGGGGTTGAATTTGCAAACCTAAATGTAGAATTAAAATAATGGTCACATGGAGAAATCAATTTTATATTTATTAAAAATAATACAAATATCTTAAATTTGGCTAGTTTTACATACATTATTATATCTAAGTGTTTTTCAGATTTAAGGTGCTTCTGGAATCACTGAGGTTCTGTGTGATATATTGTAGTTTTTAATTTGATAAAATTAAATGACTTCTAAAGGAGTCCCATCATTTATCACTAATTAGAATGACCAGTCACTAAGGATACTAAGCAATAGTCTTTAGTTGGTGAGTGGTTTTTTTTTTCCTTGCATTTTTTAAATGAGTATTTTTGATAGATTATTTATTTATTTATTTATTTATTTTTTGGGTACCAAATTACTTTATTTGAAGAATGGTACAAATGAAAGAAGTAAAGTAGATGTTTTGGTACAACTTATAGAAAAGGTAAAGGTAACCCCAACATGCATGCACTGCCTTGGTGACCAGGGAAGTCACCCTTGTGGCTATGGGAAGACAGCCTAAGGCTTAGCTTTCACTATCACTGTTGCCCAAGGTGTGCTTGTCAAAGAGATACTCTGCCATGCCAGATTCGGGAGCCCCCATCTTGCGCAGGTTGGTTACCTGGTCACCCAATTCTTTGATGGATTTCACCTGCTCATTCAGGTAATGAGTCTCAATGAAGTCACAAAAATGGGGGTCACTTTTATCAGTGGCCAGTTTGTGCAGTTCCAGTAGTGACTGATTCACGCTCTTTTCCAAATGTAATGCACACTCCATTGCATTCAGCCCGTTCTCCCAATCATCACGGTCTGGTTTCTTGATATCCTGAAGGAGGATTCGGCCACCTCGTTGTTTCTGCAGCTTCATCAGTTTCTTAGCATGTTCCCTCTCCTCATGAGATTGGTGAAGAAAATATTTGGCGAAGTTCTTCAAAGCCACATCATCGCGGTCAAAGTAGTAAGACGTGGACAGGTAGACGTAGGAGGCGTAGAGCTCCAGGTTGATCTGGCGGTTGATGGCGGCCTCCGAGTCCTGGTGGTAGTTCTGGCGCACCTGCGAGGGGGACGCGGGCGTCATGGCGGCGGCTGAGAAAAGGCGGCGGCGAGCGGCGACGGGGGCCTTGGAGCGGTCCGAGGGCGCGACGAAGAGATGGCGGAGGGCTGGTTCTGAACGGCCGGCCCGGGTGGGGGACGAGTGCCGGGTTCCGTCCAAGCACTGTTGAAGCAGGAAACCACGGCGACTCTCGGCGGAGACTGTCGATAGATTTTTTAAAAAAATATGCTTTTATAAGAAGCCACATGATATTATAAACATAATATTGCTTTTGAATGTTAATAGGCTAAAAGTAGATTTTAATAATAGATTACTTTTTAGAGCAGTTTACAGAAAAACTGTGCAGAAGTATAGTGCTTTCAGGGGCACCTGGGTGGCACAGTTGGTTAAGCTTCTAACTCATGATTGCAGCTCATGTCATGATCTCAGGGTCATGAGATCGAGCCCCATGTCGGGCTCTGCGCTCAGTGCAGAGTCTGCTTAAGTTTCTCTCTCCCTCTGCCCCTGCCCCCTGTGTGTGTGTGCGTGTGCGCTCTCTCTCTCTCTCCTTTCTTAAATAAATAAGTCTTAAAAAAATAAAAAAAAGGAGGGTATAGTGTCTTCCTGTATATCCCCTTTTCCCTTCACAGAGATTCCCCCTATTTTTAACACCTTGCATTGGTGTGGTATGTTTGTTACAATTGATGAATCAATACTGAAATTCCTATTGATTTTTTTAAAAGCAATTATTATCTAGTTTAACAGATGCAGTTTCTGTAATCCTTATACATACTCAGTTGAGTAACTATTGTTCATTTATTATTCATTTTTAAAATACTGTTATTAACAGTGAAACACAATTACTCTCCTCTTTTTAGGGTGGAATAATTAATGATGGTTCTGAATTGATTGGTCCTGCTGAAGCTTATTCGGATTCCCTCGTTGATAGCTTTCCTGAGTGTAGTACAGAAGGTAGGACATTTTGATTTTTTTTCATTTCATGGTTTTGATTGCAGACTATAAATCATATCTGAATTGCAAAAGAATAGATGGCTATAGGAATTTGAGAGTATTTCACCAATTCTAAGATACTTTTTTCCTTAACATTTTAGTATCACTGATGTTGGGTACATGATACTGGGTCGATGATATCTTACATTTACTTGACAGCTTTTTTTCTTTCTTAGTGTGATATATAAAATAATGATTTATCCTACAATTAATGGCATATTAGATTTGATGAAATGTGGTATAATGAATGTTCAGAATTCGTATTGTCTAGCGTTAAGAATATTTTGCTAAAGTTTAGCAGCATCTGACGTTTAGACAATTAATTTCAAGACTGGCTTTAAAAGTTTAGTCATGTTCCCAGAAAGAATAAACCTGGGGCAGTTTTAATGTTTTTAGTATGTTTTATAATAACACGAGTCTAAACCAAAGCAGTTTTTGAAATTTTAATCACTTTAATTTAAGAATGCTTAATCTCTTGTTGTATTCCTATGTTAAGCCATCCTTGAATTTTTATGAAGATTTAAAATACATACATTTTTGTCTTTAAATTTCCTTAGCTAGTTTTCTTCCAGGGAAGATTTTGGAATTAAGAAAAGGAGATTTAGAGACAGGGAGGGAAAGTCTTTAAAAATAGATAATTAGATTTGTTTGAGGAGGCTTAGGTTTGTTTTATATAAAAGTAAAATCATAGACTAGATATTTCTTGATCTCTTTCATGGATAACAGTTTATGGTAGAGGAGGATGCTGAATATGGGAGGTAGCCATAATCTCATTTCAGTGATCTTTTTATAGGGATATGTACTGATGTCATATATCAACAGACACATTGATATAGATTTATTGCAGTAAATTCCCATCTTAATTTGGTAGGAGCAGCAAGTTCCCATCCATTTTGTAGGCTGAAGCATTTAAAATTTGTTTTTCAAGTGCCTTGTTAGTGCAGTAGGTAGCATATCAGCCTCATAAAATTTTTCTTTTGTTGCCACCACATTAGCTCTTCTTGTTTTTCATAGTGGCTCCCATTGACTTAGAAACAAAGTCCATTCATTAGTGTTTTGTGTAATGTATGGGAACCTTAGGCCCAGGGATTTCCATTAGGTCCTCAGTATCTTTGACTCTATACTGAATCAGCCAGGGTCATAGGAAAACACTGCTGACAGTAATTTTACTCTACAATCCAAATACCTGTTCTTCGTAACCTGTTTTGATCTGCAGATCCTTGCCAGGCTTTGAAACATCTAGTCCCTGCTTGGGATCCCAATGTGATTCTGTTTTTAGTGCTGGTTTCCTTGGAAGGTAACCACCTGGGATAACCCGATCTGGCTGTTGCCTCGGAGATACTCTTCCTGAGAGAGAAGGAGAGGGTATCTTCTGCCCGTAGATGTGCTGATTTGGTGACATCCAGTAGTAAACAAATAGAAAGATTTGTAGGAGAGTGTTCAATGAGGAGTACAGTTCTTGTAGATGGTAGAATGTTTTTTAGTTTCTCTCCTTTTGTGTTTTGTTACAGGAATCTAAGGTTGCATGACTCGGGGATGGCTATATTCTTTTGATATCTATAATAAGCCTTTTTTTTTTTACTAGTTGTGAGTCAGCTATGGTGGGAGATATGTGTCTCAGGAACCTATTTTAGTGTAGGATCATCATGGATGAGAATGATACAGAGGGCTTTTGTCCTTTTTATCATCTGGAAGAAAAGGGGCGGAGCATTATTATTAGGAATGTGTTTTTTTGGGATGGTGTTCTAAAATATGGGAAGCTGTTCAGGGTAAAAATGTCGCTGTGGTAAAAATGTGGTAAACAAAAAGGATATAATACCTAAAGCTAGGATGAGTTTGTAATTTATTGTCCTAAGTGGAACACACACTTCAGAGAAGTAAAGAGGATGCTTTAATAAGTACAGCGAGACCACACGCACACACCAGGACTGCCCCTGGCACACTGGGATGGACGGTGTGGGCCGCTCTACCGAAAGCAGTTGTTTCAGGGTTTATCTTTGAAGTTTTGAAAAGATGGGTTTTCTTTCTTTTTTTTAAGATTTTATTTATTTATTTGACAGAGAGAAAGAGCGCGCACACAAGCAGTGGGGAGTGGCAGGGAGAGGGAGAAGCAGACTCCCTGCTGAACAGGGAGCCCAATGCAGGGCTCCATCCCACCACCCTGGGATCATGACCTGAGCTAAAGGCAGGACACTTAACCGACTGAGCCACCCAGGCTCCCCGAAAAGATCGGTTTTCCTTGGAAAGATTTATCTTTTAGGAATATGCTTTTATGAGAGAAATTGGGGGCAACCTTTTTGTTAATAACCCCAGAAAAGACTTATGCTACCGAAAAGTAATACTGGCATTTTATCCTTTCCATGCAGAGTTGTTCAGTTCTCCAACTGTATTACGATCTCTGGAACATGCTGTGATCCATGATGAATGCAAAATGTGGAACTAGAAAGGCTGTTCATGCTTATGTTTTTTACCCCCTCCCTTTAAAAGCCTTTATGCCTGACTAATTAATCCTGCTGCAAGACACCTTGTTGACAAATACAGATCAGAGTGTCAGACAGCTTGCAAATTCATTGTTATATAAGAGGGGAAATGACTTTTAAATATCATGAGATTGTCTGGCATACTGGGTGGTGGAAGATATACTTTCCTACCAAAAGGTCTGCAAACCCCCAAGACAGCCAAGGGAGAGGGCCTCTCCTAGCAAAAGAGCAGGAGAGCTGGCAGCCGGCCAAGCCCCACAGGTATACAGTGAAATGGAGGGTTGTAGAGGGCTTGTGGTGGCAAGTGCTTGTGGTTTGGATTTAGAGCCAAAATGTGAGGAGGTGATTCACTCCATAACAACTCCTCTGAGTGTAGTATTTTAAATGGTGTTTCAAAGGTGTATTCATTTTTCATACTTCGGATTTAGTTTGCCAGTGAAATGAGCCAGAGGGGCAAATCTTAATATATAGTCTGCTGTTTCAAGGTCCTTCAGTAGAGTTAGAATGACATGGCAAGTATATCATCTCTCAGAGAACAGATGTAGAGGCTAAGTGATCATTATTTTTATTAGTACCATAAAAAATGCAATCAACAGGTCTTAATTTACATTGAAGGGAAGTTTTCTGAGGAAAACAAAGAGCTGGATTAATGTTTTTTTTTTTTTAATTATCATTACTTGATAGTAATGGGATAGAGGAAACCCCTTTAAAGTTTCATAGAACCAATAATGTGATTAACTGGTAAATATATTTTATCTAATAAGAAATTGATAATTATAAAATTATTCAGTAGGTTTTTAGATAAAAAGTTAATATTGTTTTATGTTTTTAAAATGAAATGCTGGTCACTCTTTATCTCCTTTGTCCAGAGAAATTAAACTGTATGTATTTTTAAAGATGAAAGAAGAGTGACTTGATTGTTAACATCTTATTTCCTTTTTAAACTTGCATCTTTTCATTTGATTAAACTTAGCTATGAAGTTAGAATGACATTTGTGGAAATCTGGCCAAAATGGTGCATTGGAATTGAGCTTCTTGACATGTTTCTCTCATCTGTTGGCCAGTTTGAGGGGTGTAGGTTGCTTTACTGCCATGCTGGCCTTGATATTGGAGCCTTTGATGTTGGTAGACTCTCATCTGGTAACCTGTGTCATTTCCTCTTCTTGCAGTTATGGGAGGGACATCTTCCAGGTGTATGCACCAGACAAGAGAAAATAATTAGATGATCATAACCCGAATACAAATTGAGAATCAGCTTCTTAAATGTAGATCTTACGAGTGAATTTTCTTAAATGTCTTCTGGGGTAGGATCTTCTTCCTTCTTCCTCCTCCTCCTCCTTCTTCTTCTTCTTCTTTTTTTTTTTTTTGGTGGTAAATTGTGGGTTAAGAGCTCCCTGGGGTTCAATTGTAGCTATTGTAGACATAAGAAAGGATCTATTAAGCTGTCTTGAATTCTATTTTAGAGTAAATGAGATGTACATTTGGAGACTAGCATCCATTGCTGGTCTATGTAAGGGATCTCTAAAATCACTTTCAGTTCAAAGATTTGTGTTTTTATTTGATGGCGGGGTGATAATTCTTTCCATTAAAGCATGAAGATTAAAAAAAATAAAACATGAAGATTAGAGTTAAACTGTATTAAATTGAATAATGTTGATTAGTTTTAAACTGTTAGGGGAGACTAATTGGAAGGGTGAATAGTTATTTAAGTTTGAAGAAAGTCTTCTGTGTCAGTGTACCATTTATTATTATTATATTTTTCTTTTTATTATTTGTGCTATTTTCATTTAGTTGATTTAAAGTCAGTGCTCTGAAGCAGGATCATTTTAAAAAGGAATATTCTTCATTTGATTGGCTACTTAATAGCCTAAATCTGTTTTTCAGTCAAACTTAAAGTTTGCTTTAGAACTGCATAGAGGTGGTATAAAATGACAAAATACAGAAAGCCTGATTAAAAGTAATTTAAAGTAGAATTTAGTGCAAATGTCCACTAGGTGGCACCAGGAGAACTCTAAATCTTGTTACTGGGATTATTCTAGGTCCTCCTGTATTATGAGAGTAGGTTTATTCACTTTGAAGTTCCTTTTTCTCTTAAGTGCTTATCTGCTTAATGTTATTCATTGCCCTTTATTGGCTGAATTTTCTTTGGTGTGGGAGCTTAAAATAAATAGGGAAAAAAGAATAGATCATTATTCTCAAGAAAAACACAAATGAGAATGTGTCATTGTATGTGTGCATGTAAAACAAGTGATACATGTTATAAATATTGACTCTTAAAAACCCTAGGGCTATTGAGGTTAATGTTAGCTATTAGGAGTTTAGGAGTTGGGTGGGGAAGATAAAAAAAATTCATGCTATGTCATGGGAGGTGTTTTAGAGTAAAAGGAACATTAAGAATGATATAGATAAATCCCTTATTCCCCAATTAAAAATTGGAATTTCAGAGAAGTAAAGCCATGTGCCTAAGGCAGTCCAGGTATT